TTCACAATGCTACAGCGTTATAAAAATAATTGTATAGCTAATAGAAAACTGCAATATCTAACAATAGCAGTCTATGGGCTTGCTCACAGCGTTTACAATATTGTATAGTAAATTTTAAAAAACCCAGTTTTTTTTTTTTTTTTTTTTTTTTTTTTTTTTCAAAAGTTACACTTTTTGCCTCGACGTTTAATAAAGTAAACGATTAACAAAACCTGTAAAAATACGTAGGCCTACTAAACTACATAAAAAGAATTCCCCATTTCTTTTTAGAACCGAGATATATTTGACACAACGTTGAAATGTAGCTATGTGATAACCATAACACACGCGTTGAAAATGTGAAACAGTATGTTTGACACACCGGTTCTGAGCTCTGCGACATTGCGTGAATGCCTACACACACGAACACACTCACATATATATGTATATATATATATATATATATATATATATATATATATATATATATATATATATATATATATATATTATATATAATTCTCCTCTGGGAGACTCTAGCAAACAAGCTGTAAACTCGCTCCCTTCCACCCCCACCCCTACATGGTCTGGTGAGCTGTGGTTCACTCTAAATGTTTACAAACAGAGCCGGGTTTAGTGACGACTATTAGGGGCAGATAATTTAGTTTGAAACGATTTTAAACGTAGGGGGGGGGGGGGGTAACTAAGTGGAGTTTACTTAAACGGAGGGGGAGTGAATGAGCGGGGGGGGGGTTATCGTCCTTAACGAGCTACGTATAGTGTTTTAAATAAATATTTTCAGTGGCAGCGTTGGTAGTGTCGAATTTACAAATTAGGAATAACTGAAAAGTAGAAAAAACAACAACTAAATAGCGGCGTATGATATGCCGCGGGTCGGCTCGTATAATATAATTTATTTATTAATTTTTTTCTTTCATTTTTTTTTTAATTTATTACATGAACCTTACAATTTAGCTTACATTCCTATTTGGAAATCGTGAGTGATTATGACGCTGGGCTTGATGTTCTGTTCCTTTGTGAGACTACTGCAAACGATCCTCTTCATTACGAATTATCCAGGTATCTGAGCTATGAATTGACACTTTAGTTTTCCTTGTTTAAAAAGTTTTTTGCAGCTTTTGGATAAAAAAAAATAGAATGTTTTTTTTTTCCACATGCGAAGAGATAGTGTGTTCGGCGTAATTACTTTTCCTAACGTGAATCAAAAACCTAACAGAACTGGGTTGACTCAGTGACTAGATCTGAACTAGAGACATTTGGGTTGGCAGTCGAGAATTTACCTCTCGTTTACGAATAATTCCCTAGAAAATTGTGCGTTGACTTGACTGATTCCTTTGTGGCTACTGAGACGTATAGGGTTCCAGCCACAATTCTCCATCAGTTTTGAGCTGCTCGCTTTAGCTGCACCCACGTAAGCCCAGCTGCCATTGTCTCATCTTATGTCTTTCTCCGGGGGGTTTCCTTGGCTGGCCAACTTTCCTCTTCCTTTGGAATTCCAGTCTAATGCTTCTATCAAAATGTTATATTCTCCCAGTGGCGTCGATAGATCGGGTGTCACCCGGTGCGGCACTTCGTGGTGTCACCCCCCCCCCCAAAAAAAAAGCAATATATATATATATATATATATATATATATATATATATATATATATATATATATATATATATATATATATATGTATATATATGTGTGTGTGTGTGTGTCTACATAGGCCTCTAATTTAAATATTTGCCACATACGCGTACATGTATGTTTGGTTTGGGCATGTTGTTGATTGTGACATAGTAGACAGATGTTATTCACAAAATCAAAATCTTACAGCTTTTTGGTAAAAGACCACTGGATTCCTGAGTCGTTGTTTTTATTCTTCCTCGGGATCCAGCCGATTACCATCAAATATTTAATTAGCTATCATTAACAAAAAAAAAAGATGTATAATGTATATAGTATTGTTTCCAGACTATATTTGATGAAGTTATTTATCAAAGTTTTGCATTGTAACTAGTGTACATTTGTCCAAATTCTGCAGAATGGTTCCTTTGTTAATATCATTTAAATCAAGTATACCGCTAACCGATGGAGTGATACATGCTGCCGGTAAGGGTGACACTTTTAAAACCATCGATGATACTTTTGTATACTCTAAAAACATACATTCGTATACACTTCTTTGACATTTTTTACACCATAGCGGTTAATTTTAAAACAGTGGTGTGAACGAGAGCCGATGGTTTAAAGTCTTTTGATTTGACAAAAAAATAATTCGTTTCAAGGAGATTTATGTCGGTATATTGTTTTTGAGTGTGAGCTTAATTTGAAAAATAAATAAAAATAAAGTTCTATTGGATATTGTAAAATATTGGGCATAGTTAGACATAGATGAAATGGCGATAATCTAAACCAAAAAATATAGTCTCGAAATTCGACGAAAGGTCAATTAACTTTATATATATATATATATATATATATATATATATATATATATATATATATATATATATATATATATATATATATATATATATATATATATATATATATATATATATACATATATATATATATATAATTACACATTGGATTTATTTCATGTTTTAGTATTTTCGGTAACTATACAAACTTTTTAAAAAGGCTAAAAGCAATTTGGTGGTTTTCATTTTGTCATTGATATCTAGGTCTTGTTGTTTAAAAAAGAAATTATTTATATTTTTTAAATTTCAAGTTAATACAAAGTAGATTAATCAGATTAATCAGTTTCTGATAAAAAATTTCTTCCGAAAGTGAAACAGGTTATTATCGATGCATGTACAATTAAATAGAAATATTGTATTTAACCCGAAAAAACGTTCAAGTTTTCACCGCTTGCAACGCTTTATTAAATTAATTTTTTTTATTTTATTTTTTTTATTTTTTATTTGTATAAAGCATGAATCTTTTTACACTATGTGTTGTCTTATGTGATGTCATTATTCTCAGCTGTAAATCTATACTCAGAGCGTCCTTTCATTGTTATGGTGATGGGTTTTCAGAAGGCACACGCTTCGGGACAGACACTGTTATATGCATCGGGTGAAATATATATTATATATCATGGCTATTTTAGATGTATTAGTTGTAGATCGTATCAACAATAATAGTATGTGTGCATATAATTAAAATTGAATTTGTATATTTATATTTATTAGTATATTTTAAAAGCATAATATATATATATATAACTATATACTATACTATAATGTATATATATATACATTATATATACACAGTGTATATAACATAATGAGTACAATCTTAGACAATCATTAGAAATTTGAACACTTTATCCCTCAGAATTGCTTTTTTCTGAAATAGAAGGATTAGAGTGGTATCAAATAGACGCGGCGAATCTTGACAAAAAAAGCAATTATTTTATCGTGGGAAATGCGTGCAATTTAACAATTACTGTGCCGTCACTTCAACAGATAATTACAATAATTGACAAAGACACTGCAATTAAAGTAAGAAAAACGTTTGTATTTGAAGTGTTTACCTACCTAATACATTTAAAAATTAATTTTGTTGTAAGATATATTGAAATGCTTCTTTTCTTTTTAAAAAAGATGTTTTTCTTTTAAATTCTGACGTATCATCAAATACTTAGTGTTCGCTAGACTCGAATTTTAATATTAATATTTATATATATATATATATATATATATATATATATATATATATATATATATATATATATATATATATATATATATATATATATATATATATATATATATATATATATATATAAATATATATATATACTAGCTGCATCCCGTGCTCCGCCACGGTAAATCTTTTTTAAATGCACCAACTTGGGAACAGAACAAAACACAACACAAACGAACGCAAAAAAAAAACTCAAACGAAAAAAACAAACACAACAATCATAACATAAACACAATTTGAATTCAATCATAAAGGCATATTGCTCACAGTCTAGCCCGTAGCGCCAAATCGCGCCCTTTCCGGTAATTTGCACCCTTGTCCCCCCCGCCCTAAAACTTTCGATTTCCACCCCCCCCCCTCGCATATTTTTTCCAACCCACTTTGGCGCCCCCTAAGGTCGGCACCCGGGGACATATGCCCCCCCCCCCCCCCTCGCTACGCCTCTCCTATAAAACCCCTAGCTTGTCCGCAACCGGAAAGATAGAATAATAATTAGTAAACAGTATAAATAATAGGCAGTACTTAAAATATCCGTGTTTTACCTACAATATTTCACTTTATCCATTCACGCATTTTTTTTTCCAGTGCTTTAAATTTTAAAAATCTACAATAGATTTTCATAACTAAAACCATTGCGCACCTAACGAACGTGATGACGCGTCTATAATAGTGCTGAATAGTTGATTAAAAATTATAAGTAATAAACAGTAGGGCCTACATTTAGTGAATAAAATAAATAAAAGTTTGCCTTTTATCAATCCATGCTAATTATAATTTTCTAACAATAATTTCCTCTTACACATCCGAATAATTTGCATTCACATTTTGCTAATTATATTATTGCAACACTAATTCCTTCTATGACGACCGTATATTTGCATTCACATTTTTTATTAGCGTGAGTTTAATGTATTTTTAAATTACCTCCTTTGTCAAAATTAGAAAAAAAAGAGTTAAATTAATTTGATTTTTCTACCGTAATGTTATTATGTTATTGAAATGTATCCACTTTTTCGGGGAATATAAACGAAAATGATATTTGACATTAATACTTTTAATATGTTTTAGCAGTGTGCGTGTATTTATTATTTTCTTTACGTTGTGCAAAAAAGTAAAAACAGTGGCAATTATAAAAATAGCTCTATGTCGTTATATAAACAAACACTACTCTATTACTTATAATAAGACACTGTATATATATATATATACACATATATATGTATATATATATATATATATATATATATATATATATATATATATATGTATTTCTATACTTAAAGCTCACAGATAGTTTTAAAAAGTTTACTTCAAGTTCCGAAGCTATCGTTTATGCGGACACTGGGTCAGAAAGAGTGTATACTCTACTTCTTCCTACTGCCTACTGGATAGATATTTACTTTCTATTGTAAGTTTCTTTTTTTTTTCATTTTGCAAAATTAAAATTAACCGGGAGTTATCTCCCCTAAATTTTCTCGAATATTCTTATATAAAACATCAGGGGATGGGAATTTGGGATATAGTTATGATTTTTAATCCATTTTAAATACTTAAACTGTTTAAAATAGAATAGAATTTCATAGAAAAAAAGAATTGAAATTTCATTTATCTATCTGAAATAGTACTCAAGTATAGGCTTTTGAAAAATTCAAAGGGAAAAAGGTAATACTTCCGTTTATCGAAAATCGCTTAAAAGTTGGTACTGATCTACGATTTTGATAAAATACTTATATATGAATGTCATCAACCTAGCTGTAACGGTACTCAAGTTATCGTGTTTACACACACACAGACATAGACACACAAACAGACACACAGACATACGGGCATGATTTCAAAATTATGTTTTTCCGTATCAGTGAGGTGTAAAACGTCGAGAATTGTAAAAATATCGATTTTTTTTTTACGATTACAAGACTTTCTGTATACTTTGTATATACGAGAAAGTAAAAATGATGACCTGCACTAAACTGTTGTTTAACATAGGCACCTGTCTTATGCTGGTCAATGAAGATCATCTCTACTTAAACATAACGAGCGGAATAACATGTGTTTAATATTTAAAACAGTAAAACTTATGATTTTGATTATAATTAGAATTCGTGGGGATATTTGCTTTTCTTGCTTTCACCGTTTCACTTATCAATTGTCGACAGTTAAGTATTTTTCACAAGCTTTTATTTAACTTGCTTCCTCTGTCTAGATCGAAACTGGAGAGCGAAATTTCGGGTATTTCTAACGGATAAATTTCTCTGAAATTCGCAACGTGGAACTAGACAATGCAATGTGACATTAAATTATACTTAATTGGATGACCAATTAATTTTTTATAACTTAATTAAAATTTTCTGAAATGAATAGGATGTGTTGTCCCTGTGGGACCGCAACTGTTGATGTTATTACATGCTTTCATTTAGTTTTCTAGACGCTAGACTTAAACGCTATCACCCGACAAGTCTGGTGAGCTGTAGTTCACGCTGAATGTTTACAATCGTAGACGCTCGACTTAAACGCTATCACCCGAAATGTCTGTTGAACTGTAGTTCACGCTGAATGTTTACAATCGTAGACGCTCGACTTAAACGCTATCACCCGAAATGTCTGTTGAACTGTAGTTCACGCTGAATGTTTACAATCGTAGACGCTCGACTTAAACGCTATTACCCGAAATGTCTGTTGAACTGTAGTTCACGCTGAATGTTTACAATCGTAGACGCTCGACTTAAACGCTATCACCCGAAATGTCTGTTGAACTGTAGTTCACGCTGAATGTAAGAGAATTGAGAAATTGCTGTCGTCTGTAAAATTTGGTCAAGGACGGCTGCTTTCACAGGGTAGATAATGGTCCTCCAGATATTGCGAGCTAATAATTGTGTATTAAAGCAAAAAGTTTATAGTCATGTCGACTTCATAAAGAAGAAATCGCTAAAAATTGAAAATGAAACAAATATACAAAAACCTTTAAAATAGCAAGCTTTTATGTAATAATGCACTAAAAAGTAGAAAACAAATGATTTTCTTTAAATAAAAAAAAAATAAAAAAAAAAAAAATAAAAAAAAATAAAAAATAAAAAAATAAAAAAAAAATAAAAAAAAAAAAAAAAAAAAATATATATATATATATATATATATATATATATATATATATATATATATATATATATATATATATATATATATATATATATATATATATATATATATATATATATATATATACATATATATATATATATATATATACATATATATATATATATATATATATATATATATATATATATATATATATATATATATATATATATATATATATATATATATATATATATATATATATATATATTCTTTTTAATAGCGTGCCAAGTATGCGAAGTTTGATTTGCAAATATTTTCTAATGATCCAATCAGACAGTTTGAAAACGATTCGCATTGATGGTCAGTTGGTAAGGTACGTATTTTTTGATGACAAGTAAAGCGAAAAAAGTTTAAAACCGACTTATGATAAAAAAAAGAGTAACACTCTGTATATTTATTCATAATATGTATAATCTTTCGTTTAGAAAATGGGAGCAAAAAGCGCAATTAGATGATAAAGTAATGTATGGATCTGTTGCGGTTACGACAATAAACAAACAAGTATCAGGAAATACGCCATTCGGGTGTTACATTTTCGGGAAAATCTACGACAATAAAGGACAACAGAATGAAATGAATTACATAACCTATGCGAAATCGACGCAGATTCTATTTCAGGTTACATTTCTTTATCTCTCTTCTAATATTTTCCTCTGTGTATAAATATACATATATAATTTATATATATATGTATACATATACATATATATATATATATATATATATATATATATATATATATATATATATATATATTTATGAAGATAGATAAAGATAGATAAAGATAAAGATAGATAAAGATAGATAAAGATAGATATAGATATAGATATAGATATAGATATAGATATAGATATAGATATAGATATAGATATAGATATAGATATAGATATAGATATAGATATAGATATAGATATAGATATAGATATAGATATAGATATAGATATAGATATAGATATAGATGTAGGTATAGGCAGGGGCGGATTAAGGCTGCGCGGGGCCCCCGGCTGAAATTTTTTGGGGGCCCTAAATAAATAAATAAATAATTAAATATATATATATATATATATATATATATATATATATATATATATATATATATATATATATATATATATATATATATATATATATATATATATATATATATTTCTGTGTGTGTGTGAAATGAAACGAAAAACGAATATACTTACTAGTCGTATTTTATAGACTAATCAAAATCAACCAGAAACTCATTATTATTTTAGGAAGAGCTCACGTTAAATAAACATTGTTTGACATGAAGAGACGACAGCTTAAGTTTAAACTGTAGAGTATGGGGGTTGATGTCCGACTAAGTGACAGGCGTATATTTCATAAGAGAGAAAAAAAAAACCCATTCTTTCGTATTTGTAAATTTAGTAGAAAATAGCTTATAAGAAAATCGGAAGGAAAATTATTTTTACTGTTGTTGATAAGAAAATTTTTTTGATCCCCCGAATTAGGGTGTCTCCTGTTCAACTCCATAATCTGCCATTGCTAATGAGCTATGGCCTTACAAGAAAATTTTCTGTACTCTTGAGATAAACCTTGCCATATCCCATGTAGCTCCCACCTGCCGTCGAGTTTCTGTTTTAATTCTTATTTATTCGGCAAATAAAGCAACAACCTACCTTTCACTTCAAATAACTAATTTTCAAAACAGGTTACTTCCTGCCTTTTAAAAACGTTTGGATTAAAGCGCCATTTGTAAGCCATAAGACGGATCACTCATACAATCGCATGTTCAAGTAAAACATGTTTTTCTAGCCTTTTAAGATTCAGTGTTTTATTTCCTGAAATTAGTTGATCAACCAAATTGTGTGCTAGGGAGCATCGCTTTATGTAAACATTTTGCGAGCAGAAAGCGACGTCAGCTGATGAGGGGCGGGGCATTTTGAAGGTTTTTTTCGTGGCGAAAACTCATTTTTGTGGCCTTTGTTTGGTAAATAAAATGGCTTGTCATTTAAACACAATTTAAAGAATGGTCAGGAATGTTTCCACTGATTGCTAGGGTTAGCCTATAAATCTGATTGTCTGAATGCTTGAGAGTGAGAAATAATTCAGTGTAAATCCTAGGGAGGCATATACAGTATTATTTTATATATTTTGTTACCACAGAGTGACGCGATCTGGCGAAATAACTTTTAATTGCTGCGTGTTTTTTAAAAAGATGGGTCAATCATTTATCACAATTCGGCTGCTGTGTGCGTTTTCCCTAAAAACACTCATTTTATTGTCATAAGCGATCGCTGGTCCAGACTATGTTATTTTTAGGGAGCGTCGGCTTTATATAAGCAGTGTCTGGGTAGGAGGTGATGACCGGTGGTACTTATACGTACATCTCAAGTGTTAGAAATTTAAAAAGAAAGTGAAACTTGTGATGCAAACATGAAAACTTTAGTTTTTATAGTGAAAACCAACAATTAGGCGGTAAATACAAAATATAGTCATAGGCATATCCCTAAACCATGTACCTAATCTCATTCATGACAAAAGTCGCATTTAGAGGTTTTTTCAGGCAACTCTACATGGGAGGAGGGGGCTTCGCCCCCCTCCCCCCCCCCCCCACACACACACCAAAACATGTCTACCGTCCGATTCAACGAAATATAATTATATACTTTTTCCAGTGTCCGCCCCCTCCCAGAAAATTCTACCCCGGCCCCCGAAAATTTCATATACCCCCACCCCTCTCCGGGGAGGAAAAAGTCTGAAAGAAACACTGGTCTCATTTGTAGATCATACAAACTAAAAGAAGAATCTGGGCGGGTCTTCGCCCCTACCGGAAGAGATGCTTGAAAAAAAAACTGCACGCTAAACACTTTTTAGATTAGAAAAAGTTCCCCCCTCCGGGGAGGAAAAAGTCTGAAAGAAACACTGGTGTCGCGCTTAGCCACTACCCGAAGAATTGCATTAAAGAAATTGCAAGGAAACCACTTTTTAGATTAGTCACATTAATTAGGCGGTAATTTTATTATAGAGTATCGATGAAGAAATTTCTTTTGAGTTGGGGAGTGGGGGGGGCACAGACGTTTTTACGCGGGGATGGGGCTTCGCCCCTACCCGAAGAATTGTATGTAAGAAACTCTTTACGCAAACCATTCAGATTAGACAAAATTGCCTTTTTATTCAATGTTTACTCGAGAATCAATGACGTAATATTACTGTATGCACTCTCCGGCTTGAGATTATTTTCTACTACATGCTCAGTATGACGTCATATTTCGTTTCCGTCACACTGTGAAAGTTTTTAAATTGCTTGTGTTTTCTCTAGAGCGTTCTTGTCAGATACTTACATAGATACACAGACAGCGAAACTATTAGTATTGATTTTCTTTCAACTTATGTGTTTTCTAAAAGTTAATATTTTATTTTTAAAATATTAGGAAACAAATATTTTTAAAACACTAGTTGTATTACACCAAATAAACGAAAAATTTCAGAGAATTATTTGTTTGTTAAAATCATTTTCTCTTATTGATTACTATTATAAGAATGTTTTTTTAAAAATGCAAATTGCACAAAATTAAAAAGACGTAACGCCAGAACAATCGATACATAAATTGATCGGTGATAAATGTACTCAATTTGAGATATTTTGCTGTTTGAAATGTAACTCTCTCTCTCTCTCTCTCTCACTATATATATATATATATATATATATATATATATATATATATATATATATATATATATATATATGCATTGTCTTTTTATTGTATTTGTGTTTAAAATCTACTTTATTATATGAGATTGCTAAATATTTGCTTTTGTTTTAATTTTTTAAATTTTTTTTCCAGAAGTACAGGGATATCGTTAGGTCACTAGAAGGATATGTGGTTGTAACCAATGAAACAGACATCCCTGACACCACTGACACCACTGACACCACTGAAATGACAACGCTATACTTCACGCCGCCTTTAGGTTTTAGTTTCTTTAATTAAGTATGATTGTGTACGCATTTTTAAATCATGTAATGACACACACAGCTGTGAGTATATTATATATATATATATATATATATATATATATATATATATATATATATATTATATATATATATATATATATATATATATATATATATATATATATATATATATATATATATACTGAGATTGATTTATACACACACACACATAATTTGCAATCTATGTACTCTACAAATAACTTTCACGCTGTTAACTTTTTGTTGTTGTCTGGATTCACCGTTCTTGTAGTTGAAGTTGTAGAAACAAACATGTTTTTATGTTGTCAGCTAAACAATACGCCCAGATACAAATGCACATTAAACCGTTTGTGTTTAGATTGTGGTTCTGGTCTCTACGGTATACAATGTCAATACGCTTGCAACTGTCCTAAACCTTTCTGTGAACGAATTAATGGCACATGCTATGAGGCTGACTGCGCTAAAGGATGGTTTGGAAAAGAATGTCAAATAGGTAAGATATAATTAGTATTGCCACGTATAGTATAGCCACTTGCATTTTCCTTATTTTTTTACATTTAGAATAAAAATGTTATTATAGTATACAAAGCTAAAATTATTTTAAACGATTTTTACTATTTAGTATTCACATTTCAAAAAGACTGTTGAGAATTTGAATGATTAATTAATTGGTGATTGGCTGTTTTGTGGAGTGCTTAGGGCCTAAGTTTAAACAGTCTGAGTAATTTCATGTCATGCAAACTCGCAAGTTATTAGAACTGAAAATGCTTCCATAACAATATAAATCTTATATTAAATAAACTTTTGCAATTGATGTTTTACATTTCAGTACACTGAATAACTTAATTTATAGCGAAATATTTATTAAAACGAATGCTATACTTGGTGATTTTTTGTTTTGTCTTTAAAACAGTATAAAAATTATTTAAAAAATATTACTTGGATATGTTACCGCCCATGTACAAAGACTAAATGTCGTAGTCTTGGTTTATTTTATTTTTTACAGAAAATTATTTAGATAAGAAAAAACGGCATCTGGAATAATCTTACGAACGTAAAACGTTTTTTTCCGACGGGAACAAACTTTTTGTTACCCCCCATTGTTGGTCTACGACCTCACAAAATATTAAGGGGGGTCGTTCGTCAATGTATTTATATATATCTTATATAATGAGAATTTCACTCGAGGTCACTTTTAGCCCTCGTCGAGTGCTTTGAGTCTGACCAACAGTTTTTCCATACGGCCTAGTCATCTATAGAGGTGCATGAAAAAAATGGCCAGATAAATAGAGATTGAGTATACTAAAATTTGTGTTGAAATACCCTGTTTTTCCCATAAAATACAAAGATTATAGGGAAATACGACTAGTCAGTTTTGACCCATTTCCAGTTTTTTTCCCGGACATAGCGAGATTTTTGTGACACCCCTAAGCGTTCTTCTACCACCTCACAAAATATCAAGGGGGGGGGGGGGGTCGTCGGGCAAAAGTTTTTTTCCTAAAAGAGCTCATATAAAGAGAATTTCACTCGCGGTCACTTCTTAGCCCTCGTCGAGGGCTTTGAGTGAAACTGACAAGTTGGCCCTACGGTCTAGCCATTTACCTAAGAGCATGCCAAACATTAGCCTGATGTACAGAGGGTAAGTACCCTGAAATCATCGTTGAAATTACTCTCTGTTTTTCACATAAAATACAAAGATTATATAGGGAAATACAACCGGTCAGTTTTTACCCATTTTCAAATTGTTCCCGGACATGGCGAGTTTTTTGTGACATCCCTAGGCGTTCTCCTACCACCTCACAAAATTTCAAGGGGGTCGTCGGGCAAAAGTTTTTTTCGTGATATGTCCCATATAAGGCGCCGGTCAGTCGAGATCAGTTTTGAGTATTTGACCCCCTCTACGTCGACTTGTTGGCCAACCGGCACCGGCTCTCGTGTTCTATTGACCCAATGCATGATCCTGCCAAATTTGAAGCGCACTAGACCACTTTGCTTATATATATAGATTTTGAAATTCAAACAGACTACATTTGCCTATGAAGTATAGAAGTTATTTTTTTTTATATCAGGTTCGAATAGATTTGCTGTGCCTATGTACTGTGATCAAACATTTTGTTCATTTGAGATTTTCAAGTGTATGTTTAGCTACAAGTACAGGAACACGCTTTAAATTTGTTGAATGATATTGTATGTTAATATATGCATTCGAAATAGAGTATAAAAATTTAGCATACTTTTCCTGCGGGAAAATAGGTAAACGATTTAAACCGATTAATTTTGAAAACTTATAAATAGTAGATTTTATCTGTCCTTATACTAATCTATACTGTCTCTCTCGAAATACGATCTTTTTTATTTTAGACTATATAATGCAATGTATATATATATATATATATATATATATATATATATATATATATATATATATATATATATATATATATATATATATATATATATATATATATATATATATATATATATATAAGAGTGGATCTGATATATATATATATATATATATATATATATATATATATATATATATATATATATATATATATATATATATATATGTATATATATATATATATATATATATATATATATATATATATATATATATATATATATATATATATATATATATATATATATATATATATATATATATATATATATATATATATATATGCAGAGAGAGAGAGAGAGAGAAAGAGAGAAATAAAAACAGATCATAATGCTTTATGAATCTTGTCTGCATATACTTTACGGAACACGTTATCTTTTATTGCTTAATTCACATGAATTTTCTAATGTATTGACTAGTAATTTAGGATATAAATGTATGATACTTTGTTTACAGTTTACCTTTGTAACGTATTCTTTTCCAATGCATTCATCCTTGGTGACGTGGCGGAAAAAAACAGAGGACCTGGCAGTATTTGCGTACCTAGCTGACCCTGCAGAGTTATTTGACGCCGACCTTACGACCTGCAGTCTGCCTGTCAACAACACAATACACGTAGAGCTGTCAGAGAGATTCTACCTCACATCTATCACCGTAATCTTTGAAGAACCTGGTAAATTAAAATTTTGGGTGAAATTTATGTTCGTGTCTGATGCAATGCTAGATATGAACAAAACTGTGCGAAGATTCATGGAATCTTCAAAAGTATTTTTATTATATTTACATATCTCCCTATTTCATTATCTTATGGCGTTCGTATCCAAGACACGTGGGGCAGATGAAGTAGAGTCCATCTGTAGATTTCGTCTGTTTCTGGGACTTCGGCATCTAAAGAGAAAGTGTGTACAGTCACCTTTGCTTTCCTTAACATGAGTAAGGTACCCATTAGAGCTAGGTGGATTCAGAGATGTGCTACTGACTTGAACTCGAGACTTTCGGGTTAGCAGCCTAGTTCTCTACCGAGAAGGCCACGCCGTCCCTATCTCCCTTTTAACCCCTATATATTTTAGAAATATCCGGATAAAAATGAAACATTTTTTTTAAAGGGCACATTTCGAGCATATATACCAAAATTCAGCAACATAGCTTTATACATTACGGTAAAAGAATGCATACAAAATAGATCTGGAGTTATTTTTAGAAAAACGATAACTGATTGGTTAAAACTATAAATCCCGTTGGAAGTTTGTTAATTTATTAAAAGAAACAACAATGCTATTTTAAATTGAAAATAATATTAATCAAATATAAATCTAAATTTCAAGTGATTATATTATCGAAAGCATTATCGAATTCGTTTCTTGTTGTAAAAAAGGGTAATTAATTAATTAAAATTAGGCATGTTCAAATCAATTTAACTAACGCTTAACCATGGTTATTGAAAACAATTAATTTTAAAAAGTAATCGATAGGAAATGTTTATATTTTTTTAATTAAGTTTTAATATAAAAAGAACTGCTTTCTACGGTGACACCCGGCTTTAAAGTATTGTACAGTTTTTTAATAATGTGAAATAAGTAAGTTGTTTAAAAATTTCAAAACGTTTGAGAAACGTGAAGGTAAACGTAAATGTTGACTGGTATAAATAAATGTACTGAAAAAATATATTCTTTCCATTTTGTTTTTTGTTTTTAATTTATCAGTGACTTTGGAGAATCGTGACATTACACTTAGATTCTACAGCAGGGCGTCGCAATCTTATGAAACTGCTAAACAGACATTCATAGTTATGGAGAAGAATACTAATCACCTTGTGATGCAGCTCTCTAAGTCGTCTAGTAACAGAAGATTTACACTCGAAATTAAGAAACATTTTAATGTCTGTTCTGTGTATATTGATGGGGGTAGGTATTTTCGTACTAACATTACATGTCAGCTTGAGTTAAAGTTAATTTTCACACAACGCAATATCGAAAAAGTGGGCAGTGCGATTACTATGTATCAGTTAATTTCCCCAAGCGGTCAAATGTGTGATATTGAAAAAATATAACCGTTTAGATCAGGGGTCTCCAAACTACGGCCCGCGGGCCAAATGCGGCCCGCGAGGTCCTCTCATCTGGCCCGCGGAGATCTTTTTGTCCACGGAAAAAACGTTTGTAGGTGATGGCTGAGGAACTTTGCCTAGAAAAATCAAAGACATGCCTGGAAGAAACAGCCCCCGAACTGAAATTTGATAGTTAATGCGGCCCTCGGACTGAAAAGTTTGGAGACCCCTGGTTTAGATGCTAAGAAGGAACAAGAAAGTATTTTTAAAAGAAGACATTCAAAATTTGGTTTTCCATTGAAACTTTGCGATTTTAGAACGTTTTATTTGAAAATAATCAGTATTACTCCTGAAGAAAAAGGTTAATAATATTATTTTGAAAAGAATTGTATGCTTTAAACGAGCACACATAGAATAACATTCCACACAAAAAAAAGTGTGTAGGGTACAACAAACAAATATCATTAAAAGTCTTTTACTGTCGATAATTTGTGGAAATGTAAATCAAAATTTATATGTTTATAAACTACGTTACTTGCCATTGTAATTCTATATATTTTGCTACTGATACAATTTGATTGCGTACAATTTGTCATTAATCCACTTAAGTGTTTTTCATTTCAACAGTAATCCACTTTAATTATATACATTTCGTCATTATCCACTTAAGTGTTTTACATTGCATCACTTTTCCATTTTAATGCTAAATATTTTGTCACTATCTACTTAAATGTTTTGCGTTTGGTTTCTTATCCACTTAATGCCACATTTTTTTGTCACATATCCACTTAAATGAACGCTATACATTTGGCAACTTATCCACTTTAATGCATTACATTTCGTTGTTTATCGACTTTAATGCTATAAACGTTGTAAGTTATCCAATTATCCACACTTTTTTTTATAACTTATCCACTTAAATAAACACTATACATTTGGCAACGTATCCACTTTAATGCGTTACATTTCGTCGTCTATCGACTTTAATGCTATAAACGTTGTAAGTTATCCAGTTATTAACACTTTTTTATAACTTATCCACTTAAATAAACACTATACATTTTGGAAACTTATCCACTTTACTACTACATATTTTACAATGGATCCACTTGTGCTTGACATTTGTTTACTCGTGCACTAACCAGGTTTAAACTTAGTGACGTGGAACAACACAGCCAGGGTGTACATCCCAGGTCTAGACGACGACCTGTCGTCTTGGTACATATCGGACGGCGAGCGTTACAACACCTGCATCTCAACCAACGTAACGGACACGATCTGCGCCAAGTTTGAGGCCATGAATAAGATCTACAGAATCGCCATCTACCCCAACAGTAAGTGTACAGCTAGGTAACGGACACCATCTGCGCCAAGTTTGAGGCCATGAATAAGATCTACAGAATCGCCATCTACCCCAACAGTAAGTGTACAGCTAGGTAACGGACACCATCTGCGCCAAGTTTGAGGCCATGAATAAGATCTACAGAATCGCCATCTACCCCAACAGTAAGTGTACAGCTAGGTAACGGACACCATCTGCGCCAAGTTTGAGGCCATGAATAAGATCTACAGAATCGCCATCTACCCCAACAGTAAGTTTACAGCTAGATGCAGGAGCGCCAACAGAGTGTTTTTAAAATGCCGAAGGTTGACATAGGTACGAAATGAAGTCCCAGTAAATACAGAGTTTATACAGAAATACAGTTTCTTCCAGGCATCTCTTCGGCATTGAGGAGCCACACCCCCACCCACCCGGCCCAACCCCCCCCCCCCCCAAATAGTCAACTGCTCCCCCGAACGAAATGTAAATTATACAGAAAATGTATACTTTTACCGGCGTCCGTCCCGTTGGAAAATTTAGTGCCCCCCACCCCCCGAATAGAAAAGTTTGAAAGAAACACTGCGCACTCCAACCAAGAACAAACTACAAGGCAGCAGTTATTTTGTTTGATTTTTACAAACAATATGACTTGAGTAATTTTTGTATTAAGCTCTTCAATTCAGAAATAAGTGTAAAAAACATTAGATTCAATTAAGTTTAAGAATTGTCAAAAGGATAATTTATTCATGTTACATTAACTTAATTCTGTGTTACAACTATAATTTCTACTCAAACTTGACCCCACAGATCCAGATGTGGTATTTTATGTGAACTGCACCAACCATCACAACGAAAGTGTTTTCATTGATACAATCACCACCCATACCAGGGGGCCTTCGTTCGTTCATTTGAATTCTTACGTTCACAAAATAGAGATCACGACAAAGGGCCATGGGTTATCATTATGCGAAGTTGAAATTTTTGGAAGTGAGTATTCGATTAGCACGTCTTCGTAATAAAACAGTGAGTAAAGTTCCAATTATACTTATACGGCAGATAACATCGGCATATGATTGAATGGGATGGTTCCTGTCACAAAGTTAATGCCGTGTAGTATAGGTATCACCTCTCCCTTGGGTATATCTGTTGTGTGGAGATGGAAAGAGTGGATCTGAAACATAGGCAACACATGGTTCCTCTCAACGTGCTGCCTGGCTTTTCGTCTTTGATTTCCAAGGCGCAATTATCCGTCTATCATACAAAGGAGCAATTTATCTTTGGCCTACAAATCCCACAATAGTTTGAAAAATATGTTTACATTTTATTTGCCCCTCACATAACTTATGTTATGTGCTAGCGTGTTATAATGGAAACGACCGACTACAAATGTAGTCAAATTTAGAGATAAGTGGGTCAAGTTCCCTTTCAAAATGTACGGTCTATAGTGCAAGTAAAGTAGAATTCAACTGTTTTTGTGACTTCGGCATATGAAGGGATAATGTAGTCAGCACTATGCCGAAACGAATTGACTTTAACTTGAGTTAGGTACCCATCAGAGACTTTCGGCTTAGCAGTCTAGTTAATCGGACTTCATCTAGCATACATTTCTAACCCTGCATTTTACAAAATGAATTATTTCTTGTATGCCAATAAACTAAATGTGAATCGTTTTTGTTTGTTATAGTTCCAACGTTGTAAAACCCTGTAACAAAGCAATCTCTCAATTCCAAATAGGTGCAGATGCGGTCCCTTTACCATTTAACCCCGATGACTACGTTCTGGTGTTGCCATCTCCAGTCACAGAAAAAAATCTTTTTTACATTTTTATCATCTGTGTGGCGTTTATTTTGATCCTCTCCCAGTTAGAAAATACGGCTTTAGAAGGTATGTTCAATGCTGAAATTCTTATGTACTGGCGTACTTTGGTTGTTCGCGGTACATTTGCGGTCATTTAGAACAACAAACTTTTTTTTAGATTACCAGTCCGTCATATTATCGATATAAGCTTTCCATTTAAAGTGCTCAATGGAAAAAGTTTTAATTTTATAATTTTGACAAAAATGAGTTCAAAGTTTTAAACACACACTTAATCCTCATCACTTCAGTGCCATGTTGGGGAGTCTTCTTTTGCTCATGCGTAGGACATGGCCCAGCCATCTCCATCTCCTCATTCGAACTTCTGAAACAATGTCGTTTAATCCTGTCCTTCGCCATATTTCCTTGTTCGGGACTTTGTCGTCCCACTTTATTCCGAGGATGCGTTGGAGGGATCTTCTTTCTAGTTTTAGTTCTCTGCTGCAGTGAGGATGATTTCGAGATCTTAGCGAGTCTGTTGAAAACTTGTGCTGACATTGCTATTCTGGTGGCCATTTCTTTCTCCATGCTGCCATTTGCTGATATATAGTTGCCGAGGTACTTAAAGTCTTCGACCTCTTCTAGCTCTGCTATATTCGCAAAGGTCTTGAGAGGACTTTTGGTTTTTATTTTAATTAGCTTGGTTTTTCCGGAGTTTATCTTTAGCCCAACGCTTTTAGCAATTTGCTCTATTTTTGTGGTTTTTGCTAGGATGTCTTTTTGGGCATGTGAGAGTAAAGCCAAGTCACCAGCAAAGTCACATTCCTCTAGGTGGTTGGTAAGTTCCCAAACAATTCCTCTTGGCTTATCCTCAGTGGCTCTTCTCATAATCCAGTCTATTACCACCAAACAGATGACAGGTGAGATGACACAGCCCTGTCTTACTCCTGTTTTTACCTTGAACCATTCACTTTGCTGATTTTCATGTCGCACACAGCATTGGTTGTCATAGTACATGTCCTTAAGTATGTTTATAACTTTTCCTGGAAAGCCATATAGCTCTAGTATCTGTCATAATGATGGATGGTGGATGCTATCAAATGCTTTCTCGAAATCTATGTAGTTGTGGTAGAGAGACGAATTCCACTCCAGGGACTGTTCCACTATAGTGCGCAAGACAAATATTTTGTCATTACATGACCTGTTGGCCCTGAAGCCAGCTTGTTCTTCACGAAGGATCCCACCAATTCCTTTCCTCATTCTTTGTAATAAGACTCTGCAGAAGATTTTTCCTGGTACTGACAGAAGATTAATGCCTCTCCAGTTCTCACAAACATTAAGGTCGCCCTTTTTGGCTAATTTGATAGTGATTCCCCGTTTCCAAGAATCTCGGACTTAATCTTCATTCCATTCTTTATTGAAGAACACTGATAGAGTTTTTGCACCTATTTTTTGGGTCTGCCTTTAGCATCTCCGCAGTGATTCTGTCCTCCCCTTGAGCCTTATTGCTTTTTGTTTTTTGGATAGCTTCTATTATTTCTTGTTCTAGGATGGGTCCTCTATACATTTCGAAATGTATGTTCATGTCAGTGAAGTCAGCAGTTTCTTCTGGGTCTGGTCTGTTTAGTGTCTCTTCGAAGTATTCAGCCCATCTTTTCAATTGATGTTTCTCCGTTGTGAGAACTTTCCTGTTTTTGTCCTTGATAGTACAAGATCTATTTGCTATTCCGCCTGTTAGAGTCCTGATAATCTGGTAGACTGTTCTGCTATCTCCAATATCAGCTGCAGCCTGTGCTTTTGTGGCCATTGTGTCTACATAGTTTCTTTTATCCTTCCTAGCATTCCTTTTTACCTATTTTTGCAGTCTTCTATATTCTACATCTTTCCGTACCCTGCTTTCCATGGTTCCTGATAGTGTTTTAATTTTGGCTTCTCTTCTCTTTTCAAGAGATTCCAAGTATCGTTTGATATCCATTCCTTCCTTTGTTTGTTCCTGTGTCCTAGTATGCATTGGCTTGTTTTCGTGTATACATCCAGGATCTTCTTGCATTGAGTATTGGTGCCCTCTTCTGATAGGTTCTCGAGTAGACTAAATCTATATTTAACATAAGTTTTAAAAATGATATTGAAATATCTCGTATATTTCAACATTTGTATTAAACCACTTGGTTCCTTTCTTCCATTGGGCAGATAAAGTAGAGTGCATGTTTCTTTACCTCGACCTAGGATGCGATAATGTGGTCAGCACTATACCCAGCCACCCTTACTTTCCCTTACTTGAGTCAGGTACCCATCAGAGCTAGGTGGAATCCGGGAAGTTCTTCTAACTTGAACCTGGATTCGAACTAGTGAATTTCGAGTCCAAGCAATCTACCGCTAGGCCACGCCGTTGGAAGTACTAAAACTAAATTAGAAGGAATAGTGTTGATGTAGATTGATACTCTGCTAATTATAGATTGTGAGCATGCTAGGTATAAAGATTTAGGTGTTCGATATCAAGAAAACATGTCTTTCCCTGGCGGAACCCTTTTCACTCCCATTTAACAGCCAATATTCCTAACCGTCGACAATATGTTTGATTAATACAACAGATCCAAGCGATTGTTAACTTGTATGCGGGACTTGAACATATAATTTCCGCCAACATTAAATATTGCAGCATCAACCAAACCCGTCATATACAAATGTAGAGATTTGAAAATAATATGCTGTTTTTCTTAATTGTTAAGATAATGTAGCATTGCAATGGCTAGAGTATTTAACAAAATATATTTTAAATTTCATTTCAGAAGAATTGGCGGAAGATGAAGATGTTATTTGAACTCAAGTTGGTTGCCAAATAAAAAAAATAAATGATATGTTTAGACTTTTGTTACATTTTTCGCTCTGTAAATTACCGATGCAAATAGTGTTTACGTTAGTGGTACTGCTATATACTTGAGCATTTGTTTAAACAAAAACAATAATCTAATAAACCACTTTTACACTACATTTAAAGTCATAGTAGTATACATTGTTTTAACATAGAAATGGGGCAAAGAAAACAAGAAAGGTCAAAGAAAACTTAAAGCAGAAAAACAAATGACAAAAGCGAGGACCATCTATATATATATATATATATATATATATATATATATATATATATATATATATATATATATATATATATATATATATATATATATACGTTTTTGTACACAGTTGAATTAATATTAATTTTAATAACAAAAGAGCAATTTTTAAAATATACAAATTTCAGTTTAGAATGTCAATGTTAGACGAGTTTTATTTTTCTAAAAGGTACTTTTATTTATGTCAAATTATTAGAAAATCTTAGAAAAGACAAGGTACGACAAATGAATTTACAAAATGCGCTTCAAATGGTGTATCATCAACTGCTATATTATTACTATAATGTTATCATGATGAAAAGCAATACTTCTATAGGCATACTTTAACAACGAAAAGTTTTAGTGCAAAAATTCGTGTTAATATATTTTATTAAGTCAGCTTATTTTAAAAAATTAACATGGGGGACTATAGAGCGTATATTCTATCACCATCTGTTCAGTTTTTGCGTCTATAACTTTGGTAACATCAAATACCTTCTGCAGAAGCTGATCGAGATATTGTTAACGCTTCAAAATTGTTTTTATGCGAAATAAGCTCTCTATAAACCAAAATTAAAATAGAAGACGCTGACTTCAAAATTATTTCAAGTGCAAAAACAAATCATTTTTTTAATAATAACACATGTAACGGCATTTTATTCAGTAAATTATTCTACCCAATTTAAAGCTGCATAAAGTTAGCATTGAATACACAGGGTCGCATATTGCACAACGCGTTAATAGCATGATGAACAGAATTAATGCTACTTTAGGTGCAGTAAAACAAAACTCAATATTGGATGAAGACGAGTATGGCGGATGTTGGTGGTGAAATGAAAAGTGAACTTGAAGTGTCTAGCCCAATATGAACGTTAGGATCTTATTCGTCGACATAATCTGAGGAGTACAAAAAGTGTAATGGAAATTAAACACTGGATTTGTTGTGTTTTTTTAAATCTAAGAATTTAAAATATTGTTTTGTGTGAAATGAAAAATAACTTTTTTAACTGCTGTATAGAGTAATTCATGAATGCTCGTAGAAATAATGCGTTAAGAAGAATCGTGCATTGTTTGTGTTTCATTCACTATGGATTTTACGATCAATGACTTAAATCACATGTGAAACTAAACAACTTAACGTGTTGAGTTAGTATTATCTAATCTGAAACAATTATTTTTAAAAATTTTAATACATTAAGTACATAGTGGTATGTTGAAAAATAACTATATAAAAAATGCACTTTATGCCAATTTTCAATACTATCACAAGGTACAATTACATATTGACGTGCTGACTGTTATTAAATAACCTTACATATTGATGTGGTAACTGTTATTAAATAACCTTACATATTGATGTGCCAACTGCCATAAAAACCATCCATATTGACGGGCTAACTGCTACAGAAAACCAAATATTTACGGCTAACTGCTACAGAAAACCTTACATATTGACGTGCTAAATCTATAGAAAACCAAATATTTACGGCTAACTGCTACAGAAAACCTTACATATTGACGTGCTAACTGCTATTGAAAACCTTACATATTGACGTTCTAACTCTATAGAAAACCTTACATATTGACGGGCTAACTGCTACAGAAAACCATACATATTGACGTTCTAACTCTATAGAAAACCTTACATATTGACGGGCTAACTGCTACAGGAAACCAAATATTTACGGCTAACTGCTACAGAAAAACTTACATATTGACGTGCTAAATCTATAGAAAACCTTACATATTGACGTTCTAAATCTATAGAAAACCAAATATTTACGGCTAACTGCTACAGAAAACCAAATATTTACGGCTAACTGCTACAGAAAACCAAATATTTACGGCTAACTGCTACAGAAAACCTTACATATTGACGGGCTAACTGCTACAGAAAACCTTACATATTGACGTGCTAACTCTATAGAAAACCTTACATATTGACGTGCTAATTCTACAGAAAACCTTACATATTGACGTGCTAACTCTATAGAAAACCTTACATATTGACGTGCTAAATCTATAGAAAACCTTACATATTGACCGCCTAACTCTACAGAAAACCTTACATATTGACGTGCTAACTCTATAGAAAACCCTCCATATTGACGCGCTGCTCTCACCTCGTCTAGTCGATCGCTTCCTGTAACACACGAAAGCGACAACCAATACAACGAAGAAGACTGCCACCCCGATGTACAGAAACGGCGAATCTGATATCTCATCTTTAGACGTGTCGCTTTTGCTGAGTTCAGAATCAAATGCTGCGATATCTAAACAGACGCAACGCGTAATAAGTATTTAACTATTAGAGTTGTATTTGGTATCAATAAACACACAAAAATAAAAAAAATAGTAGAGCGTTTTATCGAAAGCAGAAAAAAAACTAAATTAATAACGCCTGTTTGAAGTCAAGTGTTTCTTCCAGACTTTTTTTCCGGGGGGGGGGATGGGGAATGGAGGGAGAGGGGCGGACATTGGTAAAGTATGTTATTTATATAAATTCCATTTCGTTCGGTCAGGGTGGGTAGGGGAAGGGGGCGGTAGACTTTCTTCGTGGGGGACATGGGTAAAAGTATATGTTATCTATATAAAATCCCAATCAGTTCCGTCGGTGTGGGGTGGGGGCGGTAGACTTTCTTCGTGGGGGGGGGGGGGGGTTGGATGCCTCTGTTCATGCCTATTCTTACTAAAGAACGTGGTATTATTACCTGTATAAATCTCAATTTCGCAAATTGAAAATTGAGTGGATTTTGTTTGGAGGGTTAGGAATATAACAAGTCGGTTGAGTTGAATGATGCCCGCTCGTTTCGGTTTTACCACCAGATTAACCTTGTAATCGAAATTAGTCTCTGTTTTGTATATCAGTTCGAATGCTGTTTCGTTATCTGAAATTTAAAAAAAAAAACATTTTTTTTTTAAAGATAATAGGTATTCTAATTTGAAAAGTAAGCTCTAAGGTATTATTATTTGTTTTACACAGTTCTTTTTAATGCTGCATGTGTCACAAGTAAGCCAAAAAAAATTGAACAAAGTCAAGTTAATTTTGGCTAGACATCACGGAAACAAACAAACATTTTTATCATGTTTTTAGGGTGTTTAATACATTGAAATGTTAAAACTATAGACGACATTGTTATCGAGTTACCGCTAACAGTTCTGGTTGCCTTGAAAACTACGAAAATTTGTGAAAACTATCACTTTTCCAAAAATCTTTAACTTCACTCGCAAAAAAAATATTATGCAAATCTAACGATTGTTTCAGATTTCTCAATCCAATCTAAACATGTCTGCGTCACTTACTGGTGCCACCCCACAGAGGCGTATCGACCCTTCCCGGGGACAAACTTTCAATTTTCGATTTGCACCCACCCCCTCAAACTTACGATTGGCATCTCTCACAAGACTATTTAACACTCGAATTAATCACTTAATTAAGTGGAAAAAAATATCATTTTTCTCTATAAATTTAGCTATTTTTTGCCTCACCCCCCCTAAATGGTGTCACCCGGTGTGGTTCACACGCCCCGCCCCCCCCCCTCCCCTCGCTACGCCTCTGCTCAGTAAGCAATATTAATACAAATTATTACGTAGCATCTTATTCTTATCATGAGCAGCTTTTCCCGTTGAAGGGGATGAAGTTCATTTCATGATTCAATAGCCTAACGTTTATGAAGAAATAGTGTGGTCATCACTATGCCCAACAGTCTTTACTTTCCCTAATGTAAGTTAAGGAAAGTAATAGCTCGCTCTAGACTACTGACGTTCTACTTACTTGAACCCCGGATTCAAACTCGAGACTTGCGGGTCAGCAGTCTAGCGCTCTACCGCTTGGTCTCGCCATCCCACAGACTTTGACATATCTCTAACAGATTCTAACACAAAAAGCCATTTGGAAAAAAAAAACACAAACAAAAAAAAAACCAATGTCTACCTGTATAGATAGCAACTTTGTACAAATTCTAACACAAAAAGCCATTAAAAAAAAAACACAAAAAAAACCAGTGTGTACCTGTATAGATAGCAACTTTGTAGAACAGTTTTGGAATCATGTCTTTTGTTTGCAATCCAAACCTAGTGCTGCCAGTGGCACCTATGCATGTTTTATATCGATCCCCGTCAGTCACCGCCTTTAAATACTCCTCGTTTACTGTTATATCTTCCATAGGGAAAGACACAACTGCAAAATTGGGGTCTATTTTTCGCAGAAAATTAATACCTATAGGAGTACAAAATAAAAAAAAAAATAAAAATAAAAACTGGATACAATGTCATTTACATATGTAGCACAGTTTCGATTGAATTAAATTTGTAATGTGATTTACGAGTTGTTTTTTTTTTTGTTAGAGGAAGAACGAATACTAGTACTTTACCTCCAGAAATGTGAAACGAACAGATTTGGAGTTGCTGTTTCAACGAGACAGTCATTTTCTTGAATGCTTTTAAATCCGCGAAAACAAGGTCCACAGCAGTATCAGTGTCTATGGTTGTTTTTAAAATAGCTTGGTACGAATCTGTTTTATTCTCCAGTAGCACCTCAAATGAGCTTACAGGTACGGACTCTATATATATATATATATATATATATATATATATATATATATATATATATATATGTGTGTGTGTGTGTGTGTGTGTGTGTGTATGTATTCATATATCTATATATAAATATATATACATATATAGGCCTATATATATGGAAGAGGGGGGGGGGGGGCTAACCAATTTTTTGCGGGGTGGCCCTTTTTTTCTAGTTCCGCCACTGATCAGAACACAATTTAGATGGAAAGAATTGCCTGGTGTTTGATGTACAGAGCTACGAATACACTCACAAGCAAAGTGGTGTAGAGAGGTAACAAAAAAAATCACAAACAAATTGGTATAGCGATTTACGAATAAAATTTAAAAAAACAAACCATTTGATGTAGAGAGTTACAAATAAAATCACACACTATTTATGGTACAGGGTTGCGAAAAAAAATTACAGAGAGCTACGAATAAAATCACAAACCATTTGATGTAGGGAGTTACCAATAAAATCAAAAACCATTTGGTGTAGAGAGTTACAACTAAAATCACAAAACCATTTGGTGTAGAGAGTTACGAATAAAATCACAAAACCATTTCGTGTAGAGAGCTACGAATAAAATCACAAACCATTGGAATAAAATAACAAACCATTTGGTGTAGAGCGCTACGAATAGAATAAAATCACAAACTATTTGTTGTAGAGAGCTACGAATAAAATCACAAACCATTGGAATAAAATAAACCATTTGGTGTAGAGAGTTACGAATAAAATCACAAACCATTTGGTGTAGAGAGTTTCGAATAAAATCACAAACTATTTGGTGTAGAGAGTTACGAATAAAATCATAAACTATTTGGTGTAGAGAGCTACGAATAATATCACAAGCCATTTGGTGTAGAGAGCTACGAATAAAATCATAAACTATTTGGTGTAGAGAGCTAAGAATAAAATCATAAACTATTTGGTGTAGAGAGCTACGAATAAAATCACAAGCCATTTGGTGTAGAGAGCTACGAATAAAATCATAAACTATTTGGTGTAGAGAGCTACGAATAAAATCATAAACTATTTGGTGTAGAGAGCTACGAATAAAATCATAAACTATTTGGTGCAGAGAGCTACGAATAAAATCACAAGCCATTTGGTGTAGAGAGTTACCTGATGTTTTAAGAACCACAGTCACCGATGACGTGTGGAACACATCAAACAACTCCACGTCGATCCGATTATCACTCGGAGTGACGCAGGTCGCAGGATCCCCATCAAACAATTCATGGGGTGTAGAGTTTAGCGCGTATACTGAGATGTCTTCTGTTTAGAGAATTTTGTAATTATATCTTGTAATTATATTTATATCTTAATTGACATGCATCAACTGACAGCAATTGAATAGGAAAACACAGACGCGATTAATAAATCACAAACAGCTAAGTAAGTAAATCTCAAGCAATATAATTTTGGTGATTGCATGTTAACGATACTTATATAGCCATATTAAAGCCAACAATTTTCCTTTTTCCACAAATCTGTGATTTTCTACCTCTAAAAATGCTTAATTCCATCTCAATGTAGATATTATCCTTGTCCAATAATTTTTCACCAAACATTATACTACGCCATAATTTATATAAATCTTTGTTATCCATGGAGAGATAATCATTTTCGTCCTAATTTATTTGGTGTAAACATGATTCCCATTGATTACAATTCACGTCTATTAACTATTTGTTTATATGCATTGCTTTAAGTTTTTAAATGTCAAATGTACACACAATGCAACAATTAGTATTCCTTTTACTAATACCGGAATGAATGTAAGTAATAATAGGCTTAGGCTATTAATAATATACATTAGTAACAACTTTTAGAACAACTTGTTACGGATTCAATGAAACAATAAAAATCTGTATGTTCTTTAAAAAACAAGTTAATAAAAAGTCTAGTGACAATTTAAGCGCAATTTCCTTAATTAATTTTTTGTGACCGAACAAAAGGATATTTTTGAAAACTTTCTTCGGCAATATTGTTCTAAGTTATGGCAGGAATCGATTGGTAAATGTTCAAGTCGCTAAGTGGTCTGGTTGCCGAGATATGGGCCAAAAACTGCATTTGTTCGAGTTTTTTTTTGGCTTTTCCGGGAAATCCAGGAAGGAATTCCGGGAATTTTTTTGGCCCACAATCATCTTCGGAACTTGCTTAACATATTTGCTTTTGGAACTAGTCCTCGATATTGCTTCGTTGAGGCGGAGATATGACTTAAAGACGACTTAAAGCTGCGGACACACTTCCATCCAGAAATGACGAGTTAATAATCGCAATTCCTGTAAGGAAATTGCGCTAAAAACATATTTTAAGGTAGGATATATTTTACTTTAAGCTAGTCTAGATCTTGTAGTCTGTCATCAAAATTTTATCATTTTAAATAACTTAACAGTAGTGAAAGTAAGTTTTTATGAATTTATTTTTTACCGATTTATTAAAAAGTATTCACATTTGGTTTGAAAAATACTAGCAGGCGAGAGCGAAAAACGAAAGTCGGTGAACTACTTTTAAACCCTATTGTAATCTGATTTTTACGAAGTATAGAGAAAGTCTTGTAATCGTGCAAAAAAATAAACCGGGAGTGATCTCCCCTAAACTTTCTCAAATATTCTAATATAAAACTACGAAAAATGGCAACTCAGGACTTAAACAATATTTGTAATCCATTTTTAATTACTTAAACTTTTTATAATAGAATGGAATCTCGTAGACAAAAGAATTGCACACCAAGTGAACGCTAAATAAAAAAGTGCATAATAGTGCGCAATATTATTTGTACTTTAAAAATTTACATTCGTTTTTACTTTCTCGTATATACGAAGTATAGAGAAAGTCTTGTAATCGTGCAAAAAAAAAAAAAATCGAGATTTTTGCAAATCTCGATGTTTTACATCTCACTGATACGGAAAAACATAATTTTGCAATCTTGTCCGTATGTCTGTGTGTCTGTGTGTGTGTGTGTGTGTGTGTGTGTCCGTGTGTAAACACGATAACTTGAGTACCGTTACAGCTAGGTTGATGAAATTTCATATACAAGTATTTTATCAAAATCGTAGATCCGTATCAACTTTTGAGCGATTTCGGATAACCGGAAGTGGTACTTTTTCTACTTTGAATTTTTCAAAAGCCTATAACTTGAGTACTATTTCAGATAGATAGATGAAATTTGATATGTAAGTAAAAGATCTAGTTCTCTACCTTCTGTCAAATTTTGAGAATTTTTCGTTGACCGGAAGTACTTATTTACGCTACTTCCGATTTCTCAAAAAACTAATGTAAATTTTAAAAGTACTAATAATATTGCGCACTATTATGCGCTTTTTTATTCGCGTTCACTTGGTGTGCAATTAATTTGTCTACGAGATTTTATTCTATTTTTAAAACTTTAAGTATTTAAAATGGATTAAAAATCATGTCTATAGCCCGAGTTCCCATCCCCTGTTATTTTATATAAGAATATTCGAGAAAGTTTAGGGGAGATCACTCCCGGTTTATTTACTTTCTCGTATATACGAAGTACAGAGAAAGTATTGTAATCGTGCAAAAAAAAAAAAAAATCGAGATTTTTACAAATCTCGACGTTTTACACCTCACTGATACGGAAAAACATAATTTTGCAATCTTGTCCGTATGTCTGTGTGTGTGTCTGTGTGTCTGTGTGTCTGTGTGTCTGTGTGTCTGTGTGTAAACACGATTACTTGAGTACCGTTACAGCTAGGTTGATGAAATTTCATATATAAGTATTTTATCAAAATCGGAGATCCGTATCAACTTTTGAGCGATTTCCGACAACCGGAAGTGGTACTTTTTCTACTTTGAATTTTTCAAAAGCCTATAACTTGAGTACTATTTCAGAAAGATAAATGAAATTTCACATGTAAGTAAAAGATCTAATTCTCTACCTTCTCTTAAATTTTGAGTAATTTCCGTTGACCGGAAGTAGTAATTCACGCTACTTCCGATTTCTCAAAAAACTAATGTAAATTTTTAAAGTACTAATAATATTGCGCACTATTATGCACTTTTTTTATTTAGCGTTCACTTGGAGTGCAACTCTTTTGTCTACGAGACTTTATTCTATTTTTAAAACTTTAAGTATTTAAAATGGATTAAAAATCATGTCTATAGCCCGAGTTCCCATCCCCTCTTGTTTTATATAAGAATATTCGAGAAAGTTTAGGGGAGATCACTCCCGGTTTATTAAAAGTATATAATATATAAGAATATTGAGAAAGTTTAGGGGAGATTACTCTCGGTTTATTCTGTTGTTGCACTGGCTTCTATTTGAGAATCATTGTTCTACTCACCAAGCAGGCATCGGGGGCCAAAGCTTCCCCGTCTACAGCTAGCAGAGTAGCAGGACCCATCTCTGTTGCAAAACTCATCGCCACAATTACATGTTGTCATGCATTCGGGGCCGTAGAAGCCAGACGGGCATTCTGGCATTAGAAAATTAAGAAAACAGTTTCGATAATGTTTTTTTTTACTGTTATTTTTTTTTTTTTTTTTTTTTTTTTTTTTTAAATTGGACACTTTTTTCGTTTGGGAAGTCTTTAATCACAGTTTAGTATGATGGAAACGTGTTCACGTTAGATGTTTCTATGGTTGCGGGTGAAAATGACGTGTGTGGGAGGGACCTCATTCTGGGAGGTGTGTGGGACCTCATTCTGGTACGTGTGGGAGGGACCTCATTCTGGGTCGTGTGTGGGACGGTACTGTTTTTGTGTGGTATGTATGGGGGTTCTTTTTGACTAAAGATAATCAAGTCAATTCGATAATTATGTCTGATCTTACCGAACTGGTAATCGGATGCTTCAAATAAAACTTCCGAGGCCGCCGTTTGTTTTGTCTTCAATAATTCTTCTAGATCCATCTATGTTGAATACATTATTAATCTTTTAAAGTGCCGAACTATGGTTTAGGATAATACCTCTGGGACATTCAGAGAGAGAGAGAGTGATTAGTTACGGATAAGGGTTAAGGTTAGGGATTATAGGAATAGGGGTTCAGGGAGAGATATATAGATAAAAACGAATACAGAGAAAGTTTGGTGGATTCAGTTTTAGTTAGAGATAGAGAGCAGGTGAGAGGTATACAAGGATACAGGTATACAGGTATACAAGGATACGGGGATACAGGTATACAAGGATACAAGTATACAAGGATACAAGTACACAAGTATACAGGGATACAGGTATACAGGGATACAGGGATACAAGTACACAAGGATACAAGTACACAATGATACCAGTACACAAGTATACAGGGATACAGGTATACAGGTATACAGGGATACAGGGATACAAGTACACAAGGATACAGGGATACAGTTATACAGGTATACAGGTATACAGGGATACAGGGATACAAGTACACAAGCATACAAGTACACAATGATACAAGTACACAAGTATACAGGGATACAGGTATACATACACGGATACAGAGAAAACATATGAATAACTATCGAGATATAGTTTTTTAGGCGGAGCTTTTATACAGATTTGAATTGAAAGGATATTGTAGTTTTGTGTAGAATGGTGGCGGGGATGTGAATTGATGGTAATTAACTGACCGGAGATAACATCCTGCCCACCATTCAAATAACAATTATAAGTAAGCAAATACAATTTTAAAAACAAAACTATCAGAAAATTGTTAAAATTATGTATTTCTGAATAAATATAGCAGTCAATTGATAATGGATCATATACTACGAGCCGACCGCTATTTAGTACTGGTCGACTACCTCTACTTTTGTTTTCGTCGTGTGGGTACCCCCACCCAACTGCGTCATACCCCCCCCCCCCCCACATGTGTGAGCGCCAATGATAGAGATACTAGTCGATTACCTCTACTTTTGTTTTCGTCGTGTGGGTACCCCCACCCAACTGCGCCATACCCCCCCCCACATGTGTGAGCGCCAATGATAGAGATACTAGTCGATTACCTCTACTTTTGTTTTCGTCGTGTGGGTACCCCCACCCAACTGCGCCATACCCCCCCCCCCCCCCATGTGTGAGCGCCAATGATAAAGATACTAGTCGATTACCTCTACTTTTGTTTTCGTCGTGTGGGTACCCCCACCCAACTGCGTCATACCCCCCCCCCCACATGTGTGAGCGCCAATGATAGAGATACTGGTCGATTACCTCTACTTTTGTTTTCGTCGTGTGGGTACCCCCACCCAACTGCGCCATACCCCCCCCCAAGTGTGAGCGCCAATGATAGAGATACTAGTCGATTACCTCTACTTTTGTTTTCGTCGTGTGGGTACCCACACCCAACTGCGACATACTCCCCAAGTGTGAGCGCTAATGATAGAGATACTAGTCGACTACCTCTACTTTTGTTTTCGTCGTGTGGGTACCCCCACCCAACTGCGCCATACCCCCCCCCCCACATGTGTGAGCGCCAATGATAGAGATACTAGTCGATTACCTCTACTTTTGTTTTCGTCGTGTGGGTACCCCCACCCAACTGCGCCATACCCCCCCCCCCCACATGTGTGAGCGCCAATGATAGAGATACTAGTCGATTACCTCTACTTTTGTTTTCGTCGTGTGGGTACCCCCACCCAACTGCGCCATACCCCCCCCCCCCCCACATGTGTGAGCGCCAATGATAAAGATACTAGTCGATTACCTCTACTTTTGTTTTCGTCGTGTGGGTACCCCCACCCAACTGCGCCATACCCCCCCCCCCAAGTGTGAGCGCCAATGATAAAGATACTAGTCGATTACCTCTACTTGGGTTTTCGTCGTGTGGGTACCCCCACCCAACTGCGCCATACCCCCCCCCCCCCAAGTGTGAGCGCCAATGATAAAGATACTGGTCGACTACCTCTACTTTTGTTTTCGTCGTGTGGGTACCCCCATCCAACTGCGCCATACCCCCCCCCCCATGTGTGAGCGCCAATGATAGAGATACTGGTCGATTACCTCTACTTTTGTTTTCGTCGTGTGGGTACCCCCACCCAACTGCGCCATACCCCCCCCCATGTGTGAGCGCCAATGATAAAGATACTGGTTGATTACCTCTACTTTTGTTTTCGTCGTGTGGGTACCCCCACCCATACCCCCCCCCCATGTGTGAGCGCCAATGATAAAGATACTAGTCGATTACCTCTACTTTTGTTTTCGTCGTGTGGGTACCCCCACCCAACTGCGCCATACCCCCCCCATGTGTGAGCGCCAATGATAGAGATACTGGTCGATTACCTTTACTTTTGTTTTCGTCGTGTGGGTACCCCCACCCAGCCGCGCTTACCCCCCCCCAAGTGTGAGCGCCAATGATAGAGATAATAGTCGATTACCTCTACTTTGATTTTCGTCGTGTGGGTACCCCCACCCAACTGCGCCATACCCCCCCCCCACATGTGTGAGCGCCAATGATAAAGATACTGGTCGATTACCTCTACTTTGATTTTCGTCGTGTGGGTACCCCCACCCATACCCCCCCCCCATGTGTGAGCGCCAATGATAGAGATACTGGTCGATTACCTTTACTTTTGTTTTCGTCGTGTGGGTACCCCCACCCAGCCGCGCTTACCCCCCCCCCAAGTGTGAGCGCCAATGATAGAGATAATAGTCGATTACCTCTACTTTGATTTTCGTCGTGTGGGTACCCCCACCCAACTGCGCCATACCCCCCCCCCCATGTGTGAGCGCCAATGATAAAGATACTAGTCGATTACCTCTACTTTGATTTTCGTCGTGTGTGTACCCCCACCCAACTGCGCCATACCCCCCTCCCCCATGTGTGAGCGCCAATGATAAAGATACTAGTCGATTACCTCTACTTTTGTTTTCGTCGTGTGGGTACCCCCACCCAACTGCGCCATACCCCCCTCCCCCAAGTGTGAGCGCCAATGTTAGAGATACTAGTCGATTACCTCTACTTTTGATTTCGTCGTGTGGGTACCCCCACCCAACTGCGCCATACCCCCCCCCCCATGTGTGAGCGCCAATGTTAGAGATAATAGTCGATTACCTCTAGTTTGATTTTCGTCGTGTCAGCTGGGAAAATGTAGAACCCTTGAGGCGGGTGGGCTAGGCCTAGGACGAAGCAGATGAATAACATTGAGTCAGCGCCAGCACGAACATACATGGTATCAGACATGTTCGAAACGTCTACTAATCCTGTTTCATGGTGTGGGCCGAGCGGATTTCTTTCCAACCAATCGCTCTCTCTATAAAAGCAACGTTTATGATATATTTATATATATATATATATATAAATATATATATATATATATATATATATATATATATATATATATATATATATATATATATATATATATATATATATATATATATATATGTATATGGGGTTGGGTGCTTGTGTATATTGTTTATATATATTGTGTATATTGTATATATATGTGTGACATATTTTGTGTAAGTATGATTATTGATCCCAATAACCAAATCACCGCATATCGTTAAAACGTCTAAACAAATCCTAAAAAAAAGTCACAAATTTACTACCCTAACCAGAATTAAAATGAAAAAAGACTTATAGGTTTACTTTTTTTAAATCAATGCGCTGTGTGCCATATATATATATATATATATATATATATATATATATATATATATATATATATATATATATATATATATATATATATATATATGTAACTAGGGGAAGTTACCAGACATAAGAAAGCGGTACAGCGCTGTCAACTTTGACACGACTGATGTAATAACACAGGTGGTGGCTGATAACGATCAGAAAGCCAGGGCGTAGTATCTCGGGAAGCGTTACGAAAGACGGTCTGTCAACTTTGATGTGACAGGATGCAGATGGCTTATTAAATCGGACTGTACAACAGAAGCGGCGTAATGCAACGATTACGATTACGAGTATGATAGGACCGAATATGATTACGGATATGAAGGGGATAAATAAGGAAGGCGACGGCTGAGCTCGCAGACTCAGAGTCTCTCTCTCTCGCTCGCTTTCGATCAGTCAGTCTGTGTGGCAGTTGGTTATTGAACGGGTTAGCCGTATTGTGTTAAGAAGGACGTTAGACATGTGTATTCAGTTAGATGAAGCCTAGTGAGGACTGTTGGGGGTCCGTTGATTCAGACTATTATTGTGAAACATCTCTCTTGATTCATTATATTATTGTGAAACATTCTTTGATTCATGTAATAAAAGGATCAATAATGAACCTGCATCTTCGAGTATCTATGCTGTGGTCAATGTTGTGTGGAATGAGTGGTTAGACTCGGGAAGGTCACATTTGGCGTTGTCGGCAGGGTAGCCAGAGACTCGTTACATTTGGCGTTGTCGGCAGGATAGACTCGGGGACTCGTAACATATATATATATATATATATATATATATATATATATATATATATATATATATATATATATATATATATATATATATATATATATATATATATATATAATATATATATATAGTGGACGGAGTGGCCTAGCTGTAGAGAGCTGGACTGCTAACCCGTAAGTCTCGAGTTCGAGTTCAAGTCAGTAGACCTTCCCTGAGTTCAGACACAAGTGCAAGTAAAAAGCTGCTGTGTATAGCGCTGACCACATTGTCCTTTCATATGTCGGGGTCACTGAAACAAGTGAACTCTACTTTACCTGCACTACAAACCGTCAGATTTGAAAGGGAACTTTACTTAACTACATATAACCTGGCACCCATGAACCAGCTGCCACCTCAAGTTAAAAAAAAATCATATTTAACATTCTGATCCTCAACCCGTGACAGTAGTCACTAGATAATTACGAAACGTGCACCAATATAAACCCCAAGTTCAACCATCGTATTCAACACAACACAAAGACCTACGGGATGATTTCATCTTCGATCTGGATTTGACCCAACATATTTGACGTTAGAAGCAAGAAATGTCTGACGTCACTGTTTTTTGGTACTCTTTAAAAGAAATACGGTAGCCATTAAGACTTGCACATCAACAATTCATACATGATTTAATTTATAATTCAAACAAACTACTATATAACTGGACTACAATATTGGCATATTTATAGCGTAAAGGTAAATAAACAGTTGTTATTTTTTACTCTTTTATTCTTTTTTCTCTTGTTTGTTTATTCATTTGACGAATTTTATTTTCTTTTGCGGATGGTTATATGAATAAAATGACACCATAAAACTTAGGTCTCTTACTTTTCAAAACACTATCAGACTTAACAATTGTGGGATTAGACACATTACTAACAAAAAATAATTTTGCAGTGCCAATATTATACATTAACGAGAAAAATGGCCCGTTGAGGAAGGATACAACGGGCGCTAGTTTGATAGTGCTGTCTATTATCTCGGTACTTTAATTTATACAAAATAAAGTCATATGCATATCCCTAAACCATGCACCTAATCTCATTCATGACAAAAGTCGCATTTAGAGTTTATTTCAGGCAACTCTACTTGGGAGGAGGGGGCTCCGCCCCCTCCCCCCCCCCCCCCACACACACACACTCCAACACATGTCTACCGTCCCATTCAACGAAATATAATTATATACTTTTTCCAGTGTCCGCCCCCTCCCAGAAAATTCTACCCCCGCCCTCGAAAATTTCATGTACCCCCACCCCTCTCCGGGGAGGAAAAAGTCTGAAAGAAACACTGATCGCATTTGTAGATCATACAAACTAAAGGAAGAATCAGGGCGGGGCTTCGTCCCTACCGGAAGAGATGCTTGAAAAACAAAAATGCACGCTAAACACTTTATAGATTAGAAAAAGTTCCCCCTTCCGGGGAGGAAAAAGTCTAAAAGAAACACTGGTGTCGCGCTTAGCCACTACCCGAAGAATTGCATTAAAGAAATGGCAAGAAAACCACTTTTTAGATTAGACACATTAATTAGGCGGTAATTTTATTATAGAGTATCGATGAAGAAATTTCTTTTGAGTTGGGGAGGGGGGGGGGGGGTGCTCAGACGTTCTTACGCGGGGGTGGGGCTTCGCCCCTACACGAAGAATTGTATGAAAGAAACTCTTAACGCAAACCACTTAGATTAGACAAAATTGCCTTTTTATTCAATGTTTACTCGAGAATCAATGACGTCATATTACTGTGTGCACTCTCCGGCTTGATATTATTTTCTACTAAATGACGTCATATTTCGTTTCCGTTTCACTGTGAAAGTTTTTAAATTGCTTGTGTTTTCTCTAAAGCGTTCTTGTCAGACAGATAGATAGATAGATACACAGACAGCGAAACTATTATTATAGATGGCTACACTTTCGCAGTTTATGAACACACGAGGAACTCACAATATAATGTATAAGTTGTAAATATACAGTGCCATTCTGGTGTAGCTTTCTGTAGGTCCGATGATACAGTATGCCATGAATGGAGTGTCGGATTGGACTTTTATGGTGGTTTTTCTAAGGTCCGACCCCGTTAGCTGAAACAAAAAAACAGAGAATTAATCATAAGGCAGAGGACGATAGTTTCGGTGTAGACAAGCCCAGCAACTTATATATATATATATATATATATATATATATATATATATATATATATATATATATATATAATATATATATATATATATATATATATATATATATATATATATAAAGCAATGTATGTTTGCGTGTGTGTGTGTGTGTCCTTTATGCATTACTACACCTCTCATCACATCGCCGTGAAACTTTGGGAAGTTGTTGAGAATATTCCTGGGGAGGTTTCTGCGAAAAAAAAAATTTCAAATTCGCAGGGGTGGCGCCCCGGCAGGGCGCGATTTGTTTTTTCTATATATACGGTATATAAAAATATAAGTCTATTTTGTTTTCACACTGTTCATCCGATAGACATGAAACTTTGGGGAGTTCGTTATAACAATCTAGGAAAGGGTTATGTAAAAAAAATAATTTTTAATTTCGCAAGGGCGGCGCCACGGGAGGGTGCGATTTTTCTCTATAATAGGTATATAAAAAAAATAAAAGTTAATTGCGTTGACACCGTTCACACGATAGGCTTGAAACTTTGGGGTGTTGATTAGGACACTCTGAGGAAGGGTTCTGTAAAAAAAATAATAATTAATTTTGCAAGGGCGGCGCCACAGGGGGGTGCGATTTTTCTCTATAATAGGTATATAAAAAAATAATCTATATATATAAAAAGCAATGTATGTTTGTGTGTGTGTGTGTGTCCTTTATGCATTACTACACCTCTCATCACATCGCCGTGAAACTTTGGGAAGTTGTTGAGAATATTCCTGGGGAGGTTTCTGCGAAAAAAAAAAATTCAAATTCGCAGGGGTGGCGCCCCGGCAGGGCGCGATTTGTTTTTTCTCTATATACGGTATATAAAAATAAAAGTCTATTTTGTTTTTACACTGTTCATCCGATAGACATGAAACTTTGGGGAGTTCGTTATAACAATCTAGGAAAGGGTTATGTAAAAAAATAATTTTTAATTTCGCAAGGGCGGCGCCACGGGAGGGTGCGATTTTTCTCTATAATAGGTATATAAAAAAAATAAAAGTGAATTGCGTTGACACTGTTCACACGATCGCCATGAAACTTTGGGAACATGTAGAGAATATTACTGGGGAGATTTCTGCGCTAAAAACATTTTCAAATTTGCAGGGGTGGCGCCCCGGCAGGGCGCGATTTGTTTTTTCTCTTTATGCGGTATATAAAAATAATAAAAGTGAATTGAGGTGACACCGTTCACACGATCGCTGTGAAACTTTGGGGAGTTCATTATAAAACTCTAGGAAAGGGTTCTGTAAAAATCATTTTTAATTTTGCAAGCGCGGCGCCACGGCAGGGTGCGATTTTTTTCTATATACGGTATATAATAATAAAAGTCGATTTTGGTGTGACACCGTTATCCGATAGCCATGAGACTTTGAGGGAGATGATTAGAACAATTCAGGGAAGGGTTCTGTAAAAAAATAATTTTTAATTTCGCAAGGGCAGCGCCAGGGGAGGGTCCGATTTTTCTCTTTTTACTGTATATAAAAATAATAAAAGTGAATTGCAGTGACACCGTTTATCCGATAGGCATGAGACTTTGGGGAGTTCGTTATAAAACTCTAGGGAAGGGTTCTGTAAACAATCATTTTTAATTTCGCAATGGCGGCGCCACGAGAGGGTGCGATTTTTCTCTTTATAAAAATAAGTCGTTTTTGGTGTGACACCGTTATCCGATAGCCATGAGACTTTTGGGGAGTTCATTAGAACAATTCAGGGAAGGGTTCTGTTAAAAAAAAAAAACCTTTATTAATTTCGCAAGGGCGGCGCCACGGGCGGCTGCGATTTTACTCTTTATACGGTTTATAAAATTTCGTTTTCACACCGTTCATCCGTGTACCATGAAACTTTGGGGAGATGATTAGATCACTCAATGGTAGGGTTCTGCAAAAAATATTGTTTTATATTGCAAGGGCGGCGCACCACCGGGGGGGGAGCGATTTTTTTTCTCTATACACGGTATATAAAAAATAAAACGCGGATGCGGTTCATCTGAGTGCCATGAAACTTTAGGGAGTAGATGAGAATACTCCCGAGAATATTTCTGCGAAAAAGAAAATTAAAGTTTCTTACGGGCGGCGCCATATAGGGTACAACTTTCGTCAGTACACGGTTTGGCGCCGAGTTTTAGAGCGACTAAGTTGGCACTTGGCATCCGTTAATCGAGCGTCCTGCATAGCGAGTAAGGGGTACTACTATATTCAGCGGTAAAACTACAACAGCCTTCTAAAAATAACTTTGTAACGCGAGAAAATCCTGTACAGTTTCGTCACCTTGCGAAAGATGAAAAAATAACGGCTTGAATATGAGGAACCTACTGTACAGTTTCGTCACTTTGCGAATGATGCAATAAGCATCTATTATTAGACGATACAGGCCGAAATTGAGACCGAGCATTTAATAATAGACCATTAGTAACGCTAGCATATTGCATCACTCAAACTGAAGTTGAAAACACGTCAAATAATTTTTTTATGTGTTAAAGAAAAAAATCCTGTTCATTTGTGTCACTTTAGCCAATGACGAAATCTGCATCATTGTTTAAGGGATGCTATTTGGCACGCTGGGTTATCCTATGAGCACGATGGCGCCTGTTAGTTTTAAGGAGCCAGGGGCCTTACGCTGCGCCAATGCTGTAGTGTAATCGGGGGATGGGGGGGGGGGGCTCCTGAGAGTGCCCCTCTACGTCCCTGACATATGGGTGGTCACCGAAGTGTGTTCTAACTAATTATTTTGGTGAGTGATTAATATACACTCAAGGTTTTCATGCGGTAGTGTAGGAAAACCCGTGTCCCGATAATTATTATTCAAGCGCAGGCATTGTTAACATTTAAATAACACAGTTTTAGAAAACAAGGTGACGCGTCTAAGAACATATGATTGGTAATGCATTGGTGATATCCTTCTAATATATTTCGTCAGACTTTATTCTATTCCCGCGGCAACGCGCGGGGGACGGGTACGCTAGTATATATATATAAAGCAATGTATGTGTGTGTGTGTGTGTGTCTGTGTGTCCTTTATGCATTACTACACCTCTCATCACATCGCCGTGAAACTTTGGGAAGTTGTTGAGAATATTCCTGGGGAGGTTTCTGCGAAAAAAAAAATTCGAATTCGCAGGGGTGGCGCCCCGACAGGGCGCGATTTGTTTTTTTTTTCTATATACGGTATATAAAAATAAAAGTCGATTTTGGTTTGACATCGTTCATCCGATAGCCATGAGACTTTGGGGAGTTCATTATACAACTCTAGGGAAGGGTTCTGTAAAAAAATACTTTTAATTTCTCAAGGGCGGCGCCACGGGAGGCTGCGATTTTTCTCTATATAAGGTTTATAAAAATAAAAGTCTATTTCGGTTTCACACCGTTCATCCGATGGGCATGAAACTTTGGGGAGTTGATAAGAACACTCTAGGGAAGGGTTCTGTACAAAAATCATTTTTAATTTCGCAAGGGCGGCGCCACGGGAGGGAGGGTTTTTTTCTATATACGGTATATAAAAATAATAAAAGTGAATTGCCGTGACACCGTTCACACGATGAAACTTAGGAAGTTGTTGAGAATATTCCTGGGGAGGTGTCTGCGAAAAAAAAATATTTCAAATTCGCAGGGGTGGCGCCCCGACACGGCGCGATTTGTTTTTTCTATATAAGGTATATAAAAATAATAGTCGATTTTGGTTTGGCATCGTTCATCCGATAGCCATGAGACTTTGGGGAGTTCAATATACCACTCTAGGGAAGGGTTCTGTAAAAAATAATTTTTAAATTCGCAAGTGCGGCGCCACGGGAGGGTCCGATTTTTCTCTATTTACGGTATATAAAAATAATAAAAGTGACACCGTTTATCCGATAGGCATGAAACTTTGGGGAGTTCATTATAAAACTCTATAAAACTCTAGAGAAGGGTTCTGTAAAAAATCATTTTTTATTTCGCTAGGGCGGCGCCACGGGAGGGTGCGATTTTTCTCTCTATACGGTTTATAAAAATAAGTCGATTTTGGTGTGACACCGTTATCCGATAACCATGTATGTGTGTCTGTATGTGTGTGTGTCCTTTATGCATTACTACACCTCTCATCATATCGCCGTGAAACTTTGGGAAGTTGTTCAGAATATTCCTGGGGAGGTTTCTGCGCTAAAAACCTTTTCAAATTCGCAGTAGTGGCGCCCCGGTAAGGCGCGATTTGTTTTCTATATATATATGGTATATAAAAAAATAATAGTCGATTACGCTCTCAAAACGTTCATCTGATAGCTATCAAACTTCAGGGACTAGATTAGAACACTTCAGGGAAGGGTTTTGTAAAAAAAGTCATTTTCATTTCCGCAAGGGCGGCGCCACAGGAGGGTGCGATTTTCTCTATATATGGTATATAAAAATAAACGTCGATTGCGGTTTTACGGCGTTCATCCGATTGCCATCAAACTTTGGGGAGTTCATTAGAACAGTATGGGGAAGGGTTCTTTAAAAAAATCATATTTAATTTCGAATAATAGACTATTAGTAACATATTGCATCATTGACACCGATGTTTAAAACACGTCAAATACTTATTTACGTACTAAAGAAAAAAATCCTGTTCATTTGTGTCACTTTTGAGAATGACGCAATCTGCATCATTGTTAACAGGATGCTATTTGGCACGATGGCTTCTGTTAGTTTTTAAGGAGCCAGGGGCCGTACGTGGCCCCTATGCGGTAGTCTAATCGAGGGGGGGGGGGTGCTCCTGAGAGCGCCCCTCTACGTCCCTGATACATGGGTGGTCACCGAATTGTGTTCTACCTGATTATTTCGGTGATTGATTAATGTACACATAAGGTTTTCACGCGGTAGTGTAGGTAAACCCGTGTCCCAATATTAATGATCCAAGCGCAGGCATCGTTTACATTTAAATAACTCACTTTTAGAAAACAAGTTCACGAGTCTAAGAATATAGGATTGGTAACGCATGGATGAATCCCTTCTTAAATATTTTGTCGGACTTTCTTCTATCCCCGCGGATATATATATATATATATATATATATATATATATATATATATATATATATATATATATATATACATATGCATATGTATGTATATCCATATATTTATATTGACATTTATAAACATATATGTCTGCGTATACTACATATATGTGCGTGTAAGTTTACATATACATTTGCCTTTTCGATAAAGCTATGCTAGTTTCTCTCTTCTCTTTATACATTCAGGCATTCACTTGTAGACTCACCCTTAACACCATGCTAGTTTCGGTCAACGAGACGTTTTGTACCTCGTCCAGTGTATGGATTTTGATTATGGTGTCTGGTTGCTCAGCGATAATATAATACTCAACATCGAATACGGACGTGTTCAATAAGTAGAATTCGTTCCACCAGTCATCTACTGTCAGTGTCTTGAGCATTTCTTAAAAAAACATAATACAATAAGAAGTATAGACGTTAGCTGTTTATGTAAATAAAAATACAACTCATCACCGTCGTTTACCGTTCTTGGTGCAGGCGAAGTAGAGTCTTAATATTACAATTACCATTACATACTGGGGGAATGTGTGGTCAGGACTATACCGAGCTGACTTATCTAAGGGTATTCATGGACTTCTATCATACTCGAAACTGTATCATAAACTCAAAACTTTCGATGAAGTAGTATCCAGATTTACCGCTTGATCACACGCCTATAACATAGCCACCCACTGTCCACAATAGACTTTTAACAGCGTCATCCACCACATAATTAGAACAGCGCCATCCATTACATGATTAAAACAGCACCAGCCACCCACCACATGATTAAAACAGCACCAGCCACCCACCACATGATTAGAACAGCGTCATCCATCCACCACATGATTAGAACAGCGCCATCCACCACATAATTAGAACAGCGCCATCCATTACATGATTAAAACAGCACCAGCCACCCACCACATGATTAAAACAGCACCAGCCACCCACCACATGATTAGAACAGCGTCATCCACCCACCACATGATTAGAACAGCGCCATCCACCACATAATTAGAACAGCGCCATCCATTACATGATTAAAACAGCGTCATCCACCACATGATTAAAACAGCGCCATCCACCACATGATTAAAACAGCACCAGCCACCCACCACATGATTAGAACAGCGTTATCCACCACATGATTAGAACAGCGCCATCCACCTTATGGTTAGAACAGCGTTATCCACCACATGATTAGAACAACGCCATCCACCATATGATTAGAACAGCGCCAGCCACCACATGATTAGAACAGCGCCAGCCACCACATGATTAGAACAGCGCCATCCACCATATGATTAGAACAGCGTCATCCACCACATGATTAGAACAACGCCATCCACCATATGGTTAGAACAGCGCCATCCACCACCATCAAATTCTTACAACCGCGTCATCTATCGTTTGCCATCATAATATAAATAAATTACCTGCTGGGTAAAACAAAGTTTTACCGTCGACTATTGTTTGGGAGAGCACTATAACCGCAATAGGATCATCAGTCTGGATAGTAGTGCCTAAAGCAGAAATATAACAGAGTGTATGAAATCAAGTAGTACACTAATGGAATTTAAATACAACTGGTGATTGAATGCATATTTTTTCTGTATGTTTTGTCACTTTTTGCCATGGTGTAACCCCACCCCCAAAATGGTGTAACACGGTGCGTTCCACAGACCCCCCCCCCCCTCTCCCCGCTGTAACGGACACCAATCTATCAGCCAGATAGATGGCGAACGCTCCCGGATTCGTTTAACTGATTACACACAGATGGCGATAAGCCTAAATAAAAGAAAATTGACACACTAGCTCGCTAGGACTCGTAATTGATGTCTAGGGGAAACACTAGAGAAACTAATGATGCCAACAAAACCTTTAATCTGCATATAACTTGTAATGAGTGTACAAAGTCGTGGCAGAACACTAGATTTATACAAGAATAAAATGGATATACAGAATGATCAAAACCCAACTTACAATTCGTGGGAATAAATAGTATGATACACTATCACCGCTTTAACACTTCAGAAAAATCACCACTGTATACATAACACTGCTATAAGCATAAAGAATTACTTATTCACAAGTAATATAACAACTTAATACTGCACGGCAACACACAGGGCTTATCTCTATTCAACGACGTCTGACCAAAGACTGCCTCGAGACACCTGTGGGCGATCTATTTATAGACTTAGGTAACATGGAAGGTCACCTTCAAATCATAAGACCATTGGTTGGGGTGGTCATCTGGTCTGAAACAATCAATCATCTCTCGATGGAAAATTTCTGAGTCTAAGACTCTCTTAGTAAGACAGCGGAAAAAAAACCGGTTATTGCACCACAGACCATATATGGTATTATAACAAATGTCAAACTAAAAATAAAACATTACTAGACCTAAGTAGGTCACACCGCTTACGACTCTGATATATTTAATATAAATATCATAATTTAGAAAGGAGATTGCTGAGCATTCTAAATCATTATTTTGATCTACCACTGCATATTTAACATACATATATCTCACATTAGTTGAATGTCTTAAAAAGCATAGAATAAAACACACGAAATCGATACGTGATTTCTTTAATGCTGGCATAAATCATTATAGGAATGTTACCTGTGTAAGTATTTGTTCCGGTCGCCAGTCTCGGTACTGTTATAATTTGAGGCAGCAACCTGTGGCATCAATCACGTGAGGTATTTTAATTAATTAACTCACAATGTATGTATGTTCATTTTTTTATTTTTGGTTGGTTTCTTTATTTCTTTTTTTTTTTTTTTTTTTTTTTTGTTAGTGGATTTTTTTTTTTTCGTTTGTGGATTGGTAACAAAATCTTATAAATTCAATGTGTATCTATTTTTAATACAACAGTTTCGTTCGAATGTGTATAGGATATATGCTGTGATTTTAAACGGTGAAGCGGTTAAATGATCGTGTGGGGTGTAAATATACGGCGGGCATGTTTTGAGGTAGATTGACAATGGGTATAAAGAGGATGTAAAAAGAAATAAACCGGGAGTTATCTCCCTTAAACTTTCTCGAATATTCTTATATAACTTGGAATATAGACATGATTTTTAATTTCTTAAACTTTTAACAATAGAATAGAATCTCATAGAAAAAAGAATTGCGCACCAAGCGAACGCCAAAACAAAATGTGCATAATAGTGCGCAATATTATTAGTACTTTATAAATTTACATGCGTTTTTCGAGAAATCGGAAATAGCGTAAATTAGTACTTCCGATCAACGGAAATTACTCCAAATTTGACAGAATTAGATCTTTTACTTACGTTTGAAATTTAATTTAACTATCTCAAATAGTACTCAAGTTATAGGCTTTTGAAACATTCAAAGTAGAAAAACTAACACTTCCGGTTATCGGAAATCGCTCAAAATTTGATCAGGATCTACGATTTTGATAAAATACTTATAGATCTATATGAAATTTCATCAACCTAGCTGTAAAGGTACTCAAGTTATCGTGTTTACACACAGACACACAGACATAGGGACAGAATTGCAAAGTCCAGTTTTTATGACTCGATAACGCATAAAACGCGAAAATGTTTATATATTTGTATTTATAATTTTTGCCTGATTAAAAAAAGTCCTCTATACTCCGGATGTGATGAAGGACTGAGGAGTAAAACGGTGAAAACTGTCAAAATTTCATGTTTTTTTTGTGCACGGTTACAATACTTTCTCTATACTTCGTATATACGAGAAAGTAAAAATGGAGCCATGGCCCGCGAGAGATTTAATGAGCTAGGCTCCAGAAAAAAAAAATTCTTCTTAATTGATAAGCCTATTTTTTGTGTTTCTAAGTTGGGGAAACTTAAAGGAAATCATTTACATACATCAGGGACTCTTCTTCTGAAAATATGGTAAAAATTCTTTTTTTAATTATATTTTTTTTTAAATATGTGTTGTGAAATACAATAAAATTCAGTATTAAATTTTATAGTATTTCACCATACCAAATATGGGAAATTCGAAGAAGATTAATACTATAGTTTATTCTTTTACAAAAACTAGCCAGATACGTTTATTAGAGTAAAGAGGGATCAATGATTATATAATCTATATATTATATACATATATGCTAGTTTTCAACCTTAAGACCTCCACAAAATGCTAAGTATTTTTTAAAATGGACGCTGTTGCCATGGCAACCATACCTTCAGAAGAGTCACTGATGCATTTTTCTTTACGTACTCTAAGTTAGGTTCACACAAATAAATAAAAAAAGGCTTGTTAATTTAGAACCTATTTCATTTCGGAGCTAAACCCTTTTAAGACTAAAAGTTTATGTAACACGTTTATCAGTGGAGTCAGGTATGATACAACAACGTCCGACCATGGGGTTTTAGTGTCCTGGTAGTTAAATACAGATCGGTCTTGCTAATTTCAGCTCTAATCCTATCCTCAAGACAAACCCTAGCCCATATCCTGCATTAAACCTTACACGAGACTCTGACCCTAACACCAAACCTGATATCAGTGGCGTAGCGAGGTCGGGTGTCACCCGGTGCGGCACTTTATGGTGTCAACCCCCAGAGGCGTAGCGACCCTTCCCTGGGGCAAAGTTTCAAATTTTCGATTTGCACCCCCCCCCCCCCTAAAACTTTTTGATTTGCACCCCCCACCCCCTATGAAGTTTTTCTCTATATATTTTGCTATTTTTTGCCTTGGTGGCAACCCCCTGAATGGTGTCCCCCGGTGTGGTGCGCACACCCCCCCCCCCCTTTCTACGCCTCTGCCTGATATTATAATAAGAACCACTACTACATACCTATCATACCTATTTATCAGAGAGTCAAGAGTCGGACATGGGTCATATCACTATTCAAAAACCGGGTAGTCAATGAAAGTAAAAGGTTCACTAACCTTTTTATATCAACATCAGAGGGGGCAGTGTTGCCGTGGGAGACTTTAGCGATACAGTCCTTCAAACTTAGGAGCAGTAGGTTCTGATCAACACTGAAAATATACATACAAGAAGTACGTACAAAATATATATACAAAATATACATACATAATAAAAATACAAGATGTACATACAAAATATACATACATTATATACATACAAAATATACATACAAAATATACATACAAAATATACATACAAAATATACATAAAATATACATACAAAATATACATACAAAAAATGCATTCTATATAATAGTTTCGCTGTCTGTGTATCTATCTATCTATCTATCTATGTATCTGACAAGAACGCTATAGAGAAAATACAAGCAAATTTAAAACATGCATAGTGAAACGGAAGCGAAATATGACGTCACATTTAGC